CAGATAGTTAATGATTATATTATAGGTCAATCTTATCAGTTTATCTATTGCTTTATTATACACTTCTGTATAAGTTTTAGATATAATTTTACTTTTAAAATTCTGTTTACATTTTTGTACTTTTTCTTCTTTTATTTTTTCTCAATATTAATACTTTCTTTTTTTAGCTGCTCTTCTTTTTTGCAATCTGCAGATAAAGATAATGTTAATAGCAAGAATATCATTAGATAGCTCATGTTCATCAGTTATTGAATTATCAAAGAGAATTACAAGTTTTATAAAGTTGAGTAAGAACAAATACTTGAGAAGTTCATAGCAAATCTGTATAATCAATCATAGTGAATAGGAATGTTAATGATCACAGTTATAACCATTCATAACTGTAACTGATATTAGTTAGTTAAAGGTTTCTGATCAACCAGTTGACTGACTAATTCTGACTGATTTTAACTGACTAGTTGATTGACTAATTTGAGACTGAACAATCATGTTTTAAATAGTAAAACATTTTGTATTATAATTAATAAAAATTAACATTTTATTTTAATTATCTACTAGTTGTAACCTGCTGCTTTGCATTAGATCAAGTCACAGATGATGTAACAAATAATATTAAAGTTATATAAATCTTGTTAAAAAAAATAGTTTATTACTTTTTTTTATAATGTATACATATATTCTCTCTTTACAAATAAAATATTTATTGAATTTTTTCGTAAAAAGAATTATGCAAAAATTTCCTTATCACATTTCTTGTCTATCAGTTCTGAAAATTTTTATAATCATTACTTATAAGAACTTTAATGTTCTGATAAGAAGTAATTCTCGACAAAGTAACATATAGTTGATCATGAGAGAAAAAAGGTTGCAATAAATAAAGTTTAACACGATTTAAGGTTTGAACCTAAGATTTGTTAATAGTCAGAAAAAATCATACAGATTAGAAACTGACGATAATTTAGAATAAAGGTAAGTTATTATTAGAAGAATTTAGTGTCATTAGAGGGATAAAAATATGACTTTTAATATGAGAGCCAGTGATAATTTTAACGTCAATTACTTTATTTTGAAGAGTATGACAAATCAGCTTAGTTTCATTATATAGACCTTGAGATAGAGCCAAGTTTTTTAATAGTATAATCAGAGCTTTCACCTTCAACTTTAGTTTACTGGGAGGAAGAAATGGAATTTTTAAGGATCTTAAAAATTTCAAATGAGTATACTTGAGGTTGGAATGTATCGTCATCTTCAGATAAATCCACAGAGTTAGCACTAGAGTAAATAGTAAAATTATCAGGTAATTGATCTAACATCAGATTAGAAATCTTTTCAATATCAATATTTTTAGAGATCAAGATAGCTTTACCAATTATATAATCACATTCTTATAATTCTCAGTCAAGCGTGAATAAATAAAGTTAATAAGTGTCAGTAAACCTCCTTCAGTTATTGCTAAATCTAAAGGCAGGTTTATACTATTTTTATATCTGATATCCATAAGGAATTTAGCAAATTTCTTTTACTTAATGGTATCCTGTGGATTATGAGCTTGATTAAGTCTTATATTAATAGTCAATTTTATCACTCTTAAGTATTTCCATAAAAAAGAGCGAATTAAGCTTAAAGAGATAATATCTGTATAAAAAGAATGTAATATAACCGGTAGAACCTATCAAAAATTATCTCTAAATACAAAATTTTTTTACTAATTGGCTTATCAATACAGGTAATATTATAAAAAGTCCTATCCATAGCTTCAAAAGCAAACTTATGTAACATGGGAGCCTCATCTTATGTAAAAAGTTTTGCTACATTAATTAATTTAGCTTCTTTATTTTTGCGAGAAATATTACAGGTTGAAAGTTTATTTAATTTTAGAGGAATTCTAAACTGAGAATAAGCTGTTCTTCCACTATTAATTAAAAATGCAAAATACCTGAAAAAACTATAGCTAAAGCAATATCATCATGTGATCTAATAGTAGCTAGTAAGGTATTATATAAAAAAGTCTTGCCAGTACTATCAGGACTATCAACAAAGAAACAGTTATATGTACTATCAATAGAAGACAAAACAGTATCATAAATAATACACTGGTCTTTATTCAGCAAAGGAACTTTCTGATGCAATTCACTTTGCAATTTTGTAACATCATAAAACATTTCTTCTTAAATCAGTTGATTTAATCCATCAGGACCATTAATAAATCCAGAGGTTTTCAAAAAAAAGAGGCATATTAGGAAAATCCTTCAAAGTTTTTTCATTCAATTGCAAGTAAGATTCTAATTATTTTAAATCTTTCTGTTCTATTGTATTATTTATATTACTACAAAGATTACAGTTTTGGTATAAAATATCTTCATATAGAGCAGTTATATGCTTGTTCTACAGTACTTCAGGAGCAGCAAGCTGATAAAAGTTGAGAATAGTTGCAAAAAGGAAACATAATTATTGACCCATCTTTACACAATTTGCTTCTCTTAACCAGGCATCCCACTCAGCATCATCTTGAAAAAGGTCTAAGCAAATACATGCTTCCTTAAAACTTCATATATATGATCATCAACAGTCTTCAAATCGTCAAAACTGAAAGCATCTTTTATATGAGATAGCAAAATTCGTAAATAATAATGTTCACCTTTTAAAGGTTGTACTATATACAGTTTTCCAATTGCAAATATATCAGTCTTTCGAGAATTCCACTTATAAAGAGAAGGATTCCAGTATAATAAAGTAGGAAGTTAACATAACTATAATTATAAGTATTAGGATTATCAGCATTTTCTTGAAACTAAGCAACTGAGGTAGTTACATGAGAATTAGCGTGATCCAAAACTTGCTGTAAATTCTCATCATTTTAGAATGTAATAAGCTGCCTTTCAGGAAGGTGAATAGTGAACCTTTGAATATTTGGAAAATGACTATATATCCTATAATGAAAAATTCGTCAGACTGTTTTCAAAGTTAAAACATATCTTATATCAAGATACATCTTTATTTTATCAATAGGTTTAGCTTTATAGAATTGTAGTTCATTACTATTGTTAAGCCTCAAAAATGCAATAGTAGCTCGATTATATTCTTTGTATATGTATTTATAGAGATATTTAATGGTCAAAATTGAATTACATATTTTAACGTTGATATGTGCATCAAATTTTTCTAGCAATTTAATGTTATGAGGAATTATCTAACAGTTATCTATATGAACGCCATTTTTAAGCTTAACAAAAAAACCATTGTCATGCCTTCAGTAAATAAGATATCCGTTACTATTTTCTGAGTGGTGAATTGAAAAGATTTTGGATAATACTTTTGATATACTCCATACTTCATATAGGATGTTGAAGGATTCAGCAATATGACAATTTTATAAGCAAGAAGGTGAATATTAAGATCAGGAATTTTAGCAGAAACTATTGAATAATAATCATTTACAGTATAAAATTTTGATTCTTACGAAAGAATCAGGAGAATATATGCATATGGTAAACCATGTTTTTGAAATTCTATTATATAAACAAACATGAAAACTTTATCAAGGTATTGTTTTTTATATAAATTCTTCAACAATTCTTGTAATTTTATATAAAAAATACATGCTGTAAAATCTGGTCTATCCACAGCAGATTGATGTGATAACAATTCTCGTAATCTCTTACCACTTGGGATTACATATGAAGGTGATAAAAAGATCAGGTTTTCTAAAGTAGAACATGATACCCATATTATTCTGATACAATTGGTACATTTGTCATAGATCACTAATAAATGAAAAAGGGAGAATTATCTGACGGCTAATACTGAAACTGGTATTACCATGATTTATGGCATTAGTAACCTTTTGTACAATTTTGAGCGAAGGGTTAATTGATTTAATTTGAGATAATTCAGATGATGTTGCTTAATTTTTGAATACTGATCCATAATATACTGTGATACAAACGACTTGCAGTATGTAATCAACTTCCATGTCTAATCTATAACTTATAGAATAGTATTGCATAGGAGTCACTATCGATCTTTGTTTATTTTCCATAAGCAGAATATCCAGATGCCATCTATTATCACCTCTTGGAAATAGTAGTACATACTGAAGCAAATCATAGGAAGGATGCAATTCAGATATTCTTTGTAATGACCCATTACAGAGGTTTTCAGAATCCTATTTTCAATATGAATAAACTTATATGCATTTAAATCACTTTTTGGAAGTTGAGAAATTAAAATATTAAGTTCATCAACCTCTGTATCAAAACTAAAAAATATAATTATATAAGAAATTTCGTGTATTAAGGTAAAATTCATATTTATATATGATAACATACCTATTAGAATTAAAATCCTCATAATTTTTATCATTTGGTAAAAGAATACCATCTTTTTTTAACAATTTAAAATTGTTTGGAATAAAACCATCAACCATGCTTCAGCTGCATTTAACAAAGCATCATAAATAGTATAATTAGAAATTTCTTCTACAATGCTATTTTGCAGATTATTGTATATATAAATCTGATTTGAATAAAAGGCATTTATAGTGACACTTGAATGAATGAATAATATCTGCATCACATGGCTGAAGCTTAGTTGTGGTATTTGGTAGAAGAAATTTTACAACTATACTATCTAATTTCTCTTGAGTCTCATCTAAAATAAGGTGTATAGAAGCGTTATTAACTAAAAAATAATTTCTCTATTTTTTTTTTTTTTATTATTTCATTGAGCTTAATAAGAATATCATTGAAGATGCTAATTGCATCCATGACTTTTTATTCCAAAAATAGTATACCAGAAGATTTCTAATATTAATATTTTTCATTGCACGAGGGGTTTTGTATTTATGGATAAATGTAAGGTTCATCTTTTCAGTTCCAGATGCATTGACTGCACAAAATATTGTAACTCTAATTTTTCTTTTTTTGTGTTCTGAAATAGGTCCACGCGCTAGAATCCTATAAGGTTCTATTTTTCAAAAAAGTTCAGTCTCATCTCCATTTCTAGATATCGTCAGGATTGTAAGATGCAAGAAGCTGTTGTAGAATAAGACGGTCTCTTTCTATAGACTCAGCCGATGGTACACTTCCAGCCTCACCTTGCTTTTTATACTGATGCAAGCCATGTCATTTTTTAAAGCCACCTAACCATACTTCTGAAGAATTAAAGTCTTCTATAGATAATTGTCTGGCAAAATAATTTGCCTTCATTTTCATTTTCAATATATTACCATTGATATCTTGTTTCGTGTTAAATGCGTTGTCAACCCAAAGACCAAGTGCATCTTTAAGTTGAGGCCACTTTGGATCACAAAACTTCTTAACACTTCCTTGTCCCTCAAAAACTGCAAGCCAACGCTCCTTTTCATTTAATATATCTGTAACCGTTGACTTCCCAATATCATATTGTTGTGCAAGCTTAGTATTAGAAATGTTCGGATCTTTTTCTTTTTTCTCACAAAGTTCACGTTTTTGTGCAGCAGTAATATTAACCCTCTTTCTTTTGGTTGACATTATTTTATCGGAGTTTCCCGAATTCTGATGATCATCTAATTTTAAGGTTTAGATCACAAGATTCACTTGATCGTTCGGTATATCAAATATAGGACTATTATACTTGGGCTAGCTCTTATGGGTTCGGTTGCGATATATAGCATTTTATTATAAAATTTCATTATATCCAGTGTAAAATAATCAGTTCTGTCTAACTTGGTTCGGTATAACGAGTTTTCAGTATAACCAGTTTCGTTATATCCAGTGGCGACTGTAGTTCCATTGTATCTGATATCAATGATGAGCAATGTAAACTTGGATGATATAAACGTTAGAAGGAGACTTTATAGCAGTAATTTTTCCTTTAGTCAGCGACGTAAGGTGTATGACGAGATTCCAAGTTTTTTAGTTGCTATACAGATAAATACATAAAAAAAAGAAAAGAAAGGAGGGATTAGTTTACAGTTTACGATTTTGAATCTTTTTTATAGGCCTTTTCAAATTGACTTTTTTAGACTTTTTCTCTTATATTGATAAGCATTACACCAAATGTTATAATATATTTATTGATTAATTAAATAAATGCTTGAATCAAGTTAATGATAATTTTTAGTTAAAATAAACAGATAAAATAGATAAAATGCTAAATATTAATAAGGAATTTTAAATTTGGAGGGTAGATAATCCTTAAGGAATTGGGTAAATTTGGTAAGCTTGTTATTTGAGTTTCTCGGCAACGGAGATCCGTTAAGGAGTTTGGTAACGTTGACAAGCTTGTTATTTGAGTTTTTGAGCAGTCGAGTTTTTCTAAGGAGCTTGGTAATGTTGGTAAGCTTGTTATTTGAGTTTCATTGCAATAGAGGTTTGTTAAGGAGGTAGGTAATGTTGGTAAGCTTGTTATTTGAGTATTAGAGCAATTAAGAAATGCTAAGGAGCTTGGTAATGTTGGTAAGCTTGTTATTTGAGTTCCGAAACACCAGAGTACTGTTAAAGAATTTGGTAATGTTGGCAAGCTTGTGATTTGAGTTTTTGAGCAGTCGAGTTCCGTTAAGGAGTTTGGTAATGTTGGTAAGCTTGTTATTTGAGTTATATAGCAAACGAGTTCCTTTAAGGAGGTTGGTAATGATGGTAAGCTTGTTATTTGAGTTTCATGGCAATAGAGGTTTGTTAAGGAGGTAGGTAATGTTGGTAAGCTTGTTATTTCAGTTTCAGAACAGTCAAGATAAGATAAGGAGTTAGGTAATGTTGGTAGTCTTGTTATTTGATTAATATGGCAATGGAGTTTCGCTAACGAGTTAGGTAATGTTGGTAATCTTGTAATTTGAGTATCATAGCAAATGAGTTCCGTTAAGGAGTTTGGCAATGTTGGTAAGCTTGTTATTTGATTTAAAGAGCAATTAAGAAATGATAAGGAGCTTGGTAATGTTGGTAAGCTTGTTATTTGAGTTATATAGCAACGGAATTCCGTTAAGGAGTTAGGTAAAGTTGGTATTTTTGATATCTGAGAATAGTTACAATTGAGTTTTGTCAATTTTCGATATCTTTGCAAACCGCCAAAAGTGTTCAATATGTCATCCTTATTAGTATCTGTAATGGTTATACTTTCAATACCATCATCATAAATAATTAATTCAAAATTTCTGATTCTCTTTTCTAATTCATTAATAATTTCTTGCTTTTCTTCACGTTCTCTAATCTTTTCTTCGAAATTATTAATAATTTCTTGCTTTGCTTTGGCTTCTTCACTATTCTTTTCTTCTGCATGATTAATATTGGTTTCGGTATCTTCTTCTCGTTCTCTGTTCTTTTCTTCGAAATTATTAATATTGGCCTTGGTTTCTTCTTCCCGCTCTCCAACCTTTTCTTCTAAATATTTGAATTGTGAACGTAACCCGTCGTAACTTTGCTCTAATTCCTTAATTCTCGTTTCTAAGTCTCTTAACGTTTTATAAAAATTGTTCCTTAAAATCATTTTTTTTTTTTCTTGGATTTTTTAATTAATGATGGTTTCAATGAGTTTTTATTACTTTTCTTGCATAAAAAATCACCAATAAAAAATGCTCTTTGCTCAGCCCTCGGTTTATATTTTTTCCATCTATAATTTTTCCATAAATAGTCTAGTTTGTTTAACAGATCGGAGATATACTTTTTGATAGCGATCGCTGTGAAACTTAAATATATCAAAGTGGAACACAAAATTGTAGTATATTTCTTGATAAAGCGTATATGATATTACATTGTTTTCACTTTTTTTTACTTGTGTAAAGTTTTAATAAACTGCAAAATTGTTTTCGATATAGAGAATGTGCTATTCGATCGGGCTGCAGAATGGTAATTAGCAAATCATCCTTTATTAGTAGACAGACGTATACATTTTATAACTTATTGGAAAATTTTTATGAAATAATTTATGAAAATTGTTAAAGATTTACGCTTTAATCTACTAAAATTCTGTTACACTTTAATCTATCAAGAAAAGATGCATATTTAGTGTTTCACAGCGATCGCTATCAAGAAGTATACCTCTGACCTATCAATACTTTTGTTGCCTCAGATAGCTCGCTTCTTTCTTACCAAATCAAGTTAACTGCTTTCTAAAATTGGTAATTATCGAAAATAAACATATATACGATTTTTTGAAATCTTACAAAAAAATACTTCAAAAGAACGAAAATAAATGAATACAATAGAGTGAATTTACGAAAATTGCAAAAAATCCATTATGTAAATAACGAAGATCATCCCGATTTTCGTAAGAACCCGTTTCCAACATTTATTATAAAATTATGTTAGTTTCTATCAATATACTGCCGTGCTAGAGTTGAATAATTTCGAATTGGAAACATTTACTGCGTTTTCTTTATAATAATAATTACCTAAAAAAAAAAAAATAATTTATTGAAGATAAATTAAAAAAAAATAAATTAAATTGCTTAAATAAAAAAATAAAGTAAAATATGCCGCAGCAGATCGAACTGGTCCTCCAAATAAGAACAATCAATTTTCAAAAAAAAAGAGAAAAACCTACCAATCCATCTCCTGAAATTTTTAAAGGCGAAAAAAAATCATCCAAAACCAAAATAATATTACCTATTACTTGCAGAAGTGTTCCAACCAGAAAGTAGAACGAACCTACATAAAAAGGAGCAAATTCCAAAGAAAAAAAGACAAGAAATTAAATATTTGACTGCGTGCATTTTTTTTTAAAAAAAATTAGTCGCACACCAAAGTATTTTTTATATTTCTTATTTAACTCGTATTTGACACAATACACGAAACCAAACAACAATCAAAAAAAAATAAATCTATATTAGCACAAATGATTCGATCTGAAAAGGAAAAAAAGGCGCGAGGTTTTCTTGACCCGAAATACCAAATCTCTTTTGTTTAGCTCCTTCCAAGAATGCACTCCTCGTACATAGTAAAAATATTTTTTATCTCATCTCGTTTTAACCTATTTGGATTGATTAAATATTTTTCACACAATTTTACTTCAATCACAGTCATTTATTCCCTTACAGAAAGTACTTTGAATTTTTCCAACGAGGGTATTGTCGCTTCAACATTTTCAGCAAATATTACGAAATTACGAGGAAGAAGAATGTTCACATCGTCATTTATAAGGCATTAAAAGATGCTGAAAATGACCCAAAATTATAGGAAGGAAATGTGTGTGTGAAGTTCCTTAACGGTTAGTTAAAATATTCTTTAACCTGTTCCAATCTCTAGCAATAAGAGGTGATTGCGATTCCAACAAAGCCTGTTAGTGGTCTATTAATAGTTCTTGCACTTCACGCTGTATTCATCTCCGAAGAGTTACCAGTGTCTGAGGACATCTGGTGAACTAACACAAGCTTCTCTACTGATTCTGAAGAAAGCTTCGGTGTTGGTACATTTATGCAGGGTTGTCATCATGATTCTAATTTTTTTCGATTTTATTATTTCTGTCTTGCTTTTGTAATATATATAGCAGTATTAATATATTGAAAGATGAACGACAATTTTTGGATATCATACATTGTAATGAAGAATACCTTATTTCAAAAAAGAAGAAAACCATATCGATATGGTTACCCAGATTTAATCATATAATTTTCCAATAAGTAGGGGGTAATAGTTAAACAACTTCTCACATGTCATTTCAACAGACAGCAATTGTTATTCTCTCAAGCTGCTGTATAAGTAACAGGCTTTGTAATTATTTCTCTTAGTCTTGTTAGAATTCCTTGATTATTATTTCAAAAACCGAAACATTTTCAATTATTCACAAGAGAAGGGCCTTAAATTTTTTCTTTCATTAAATATTCAATCAGTGTCTCTAAGTATTCTGATCGTAATGCTTAACTTGACTTGATTATTAATCAGAAGAATAGCGAAATGTGTGCCATCATAAAATATACATCAGAGTTTGATTTTTTGTTATATATTATTGAACGATTTAATCTAGGTCCCCAAATATTGTTGGCAATTACGCTCGAATGTTAATTGCTGTATCTATACTAAAATAACTATATAAAATTTATTAATGTCCTACCAAGAGTGATCCAAAATAATTGCCCCAATTGTGACGAAAAAAAATAACAAACTTCTCGATCTTTAATGTAATCATCTCATTTTATGTTTTGTTATCATATAATTTATATCGATGTAATTCATTAACATTTTTGGTACTATTTGCGTACTTGGAACTGGATGAACATACGTGTATTTACTTTATTAAATGTATATGATGGTTTACAAATTTAATTTAATATACCTTTGGATATAAAGCAAAAGTATTTAATTTGAATAAAATAATTAATCTTAAAACACCGATTAATCAGTATTATAAGGTATGGTTTTTTATTTTTCATTCAGTTTTATTTTTTAGTCATTACGTCTATTTTTTTGGGTTCGATCGCAATGATAAATTAATGGGTGAGGCTTTCTCATTTGACTCTAACTTTCCTTTTTCTTTATTTTATTTCTTGCTTTTGGCTTATTATGTTATTCTTCATAAATATATATTCTAGGTCCAATCGCTTCAGGTCGTAGCAATCGTGATTTCTAGTCGTTAAATTACACCTCGGGCCTTCTAATTTAATTATAATAATAACTAGGTCTCTTAATCGAATCGAGTAGGATCGATGATTGATTGAGTCAATCAATTTTTCGATCACAGATCGATCAAAATTGTACTAAGTTTGATTATAATCGAATAAATTTTCTATGTTTGATCGATTATACTGTATATAGTTATCGTTATATTTTGTATAAAAAAAAAATCTTGATATTTTACATTAAAAGTTACTTTATTTGTAGATGCATTTTGGAGTATCAGAGTCTTAATTTATAATATTTAAATATGATCCTTTTGTATAAATGTATATTTATAAACTATAGGAATTTTAATTGTTAAATTTGATTACGTATTTGTAATAAAAACTAGATTATTGTAATTTTTCACAAAAATCAATCAATGATCGATAAATTTAAAATCGATTACGAAATCGATCAATAGACCGATCAATAATATATTCAAAATCAAAATACGATGTTCGATTAACACCCAAATGTTGATTTTTTAAATATAAAGGGGAGATATTCGTTAAGGAATTGGGTAATGTTGGTAAGCTTGTTATTTGAGTTTCAAAACACCGGCGTTTCGTTAAGGAGTTAGGTAATGTTGGTAGGATAGTTATTGAGTATAAGAGCAATCAAGTTCCGTTATAGAATCGGGTAAATTTGGTAAGCTATTTAATTTAATATTATAACAGTTGGGTACCGTTAAGGAAATGGGTAATGTTGATAAGCTTGTAATTTTAGTTTTATAGCAATAGAGTTCCGTTAAGGAGTTAGGTAATGTTGGTAAGCTTGTTATTTGAGAATTGTTACAATTGAGTTTTGTCAATTTCCGATATCTTTGCAAACCGCCAAAGGTGTTCAATATGTCATCCTTATTAGTATTTGTAATGGTCATACTTTCAATAGTATCATCATAAATAATTAATTCAAGACTTCTGATTCTCTTTTCTAATTCATTAATTGCTTGTTCTCTAACCTTTTCTTCTAAATTATTAATATTGGCTTTGGTTTCTTCTCGTTCTCTAGTCCATTTTTCTAAATTATTAATATTGGCTTTGATTTCTTCTTCTCGTTCTCTAACCCTTTCTTCTAAATTATAAAAATTGGTTTTGGTTTCTTCTTCTCGTTGTCTAACTTTTTCTTCCAAATTTTTAATATTTGCTTTTGTTTCTTCTTCTCGCTTTCCAATCTTTCTTCTAAATATTTGACTTGTGAACGTAACTCTTCGTTACTTTGCTCTAATTCCTTAATTCTCATTTCAAAGTCTTTTAAGGATTTTACTATATTGTTTTTTAAAACCATTTTTTTTTTGACTATTTTTTTTATTTTAAATTGTTCAGATGATATTTTAATATTTCAATGAGTTTATTCGGTTTATAATTTTTCCAACTGTGATTTTTCCATAAATAGTCTGGTTTGCTCGGATAACTTAAAAAGGAACTAACCCGATCAATTCAGTCTTACCTAAAAAAGTTTACTCAATATTCTCTGAAATTCACAAGGAACTTATGGGAAATCTTATAGCAATTCTATAAAACTCGGAAATGATTAACTAATACAATGGAGGGAATTAACGAAATAAAGCTAATTATTACCATATGTAAACATAAAAACTTTATATTATTTCATGACGAGAAGCATTGATAATTTTTTTTTGACGAATATTATTTTCTATACAGTGACGTGTAAGAAAGAGTAAGTTTATTGAATAATCGGAATTGAACTTTCATTAATAAAAGCTACACAAAGAATTTACAGCGCCATATTTGTAATAACTTTTGATTAATTATGTTTTTTAAATTGCACTCTAATAACAAAAATAAAAAAATTATATGCCTCTTAAATCATCGGGAAAACCATCGTGTATCTCCGAGAATATTTAATAAAAGAGATGAAATTAAGAAACGGCGTGAAAAAAAAAAAAATATTTTGATCATGTAAGGTGAACCTTTGGGCGATACTGGATATTATTTAGACGCGTCGTTTGGCTTTACACTTCATTTCGGTATTCTTTTCAAAAAGTTTTTCCAAAATTATCCGTCACATTTAATGTTTTTTAATGTTTTCAAAAAATTATTCCCATTGTTTATTTCCCTTGAATCATATCGTTCGATTTTTCTACAAATATTACCGCAAAAGTAAGTTATTTTCAGTAAAATGCCGTTTCTTTGCATTTGTTAGGCCATAAAGAAAGTGACCAGTGTATAGTTGCGGGGCAAACATAAACCCATTTTGGCAAAAGTCGAAACTTTTCAGAAATTATTTCGACAGTTTCGATGGGTTTCGATGGGTCTCGAAAGTTTCGACAGTTCTATAACAACTTTGCGAATTTGACGGTTTTAACAGGTTTATTGTATCACATTGTAGAAAATAAAACCATTTTTTTTTTTATTGCTTTTTATTTTAAATTAGAACAAAATTTCCAAAATATTGCATTTTATCGAGTAGTTTTTAAATTTGGAAGCATTGGTACTTGTTGAAGAATTAGAAAAATTACTTCATGAAGAAGATAATGATAGAAGTTGGAACCGGGTTTATTTTTATATCCGGATTATTTAGTTTAAAAATCGGATTTCAATCCGAATATCGAATCTCTATTTAAAAACTTTGTTGATCAAATAAATAATACCCGGTGCGGTTGCATTAAGTACTCGTTAATTTATCTTTATAAAATCCTATAAAATTAAGAATTTCATATCGAAGATCAATGCTATTCATAATAGATCTAATCATTGTGCTGCATGAGAATCCGGTTTTGTGCTGGGCCAATTTTGTATTCGAATTTAAATTCGAACTGGGATTTATCTGGGTTTAAATCCGAATGTCGAAACCGGTTTTAACCTATAGAAAAGTTTAATGGATGATGAAGAAAATACTAATTAGGTAACTGGACTTGATGAAAAATAAAATATTTCAATTTCAATATTTAATTTTTAGATTTTTTTTTTTCTTATCTTTTATAAAAGAGAGTGATCTTTGCTATATACGATTTGCTCATCTTGTAAAACAAAATAATAAATTTTAAAATTCAAATTTGTATGGCTTTGCCACCGTCGAAACTTTTACAATTTTGCCTATAATAAAAATATTGGACAAAGCGTTTCGATGTATTTCGTTTTCGATGCCTGTCGAAACCTTCGGGTTTGCCCGGCATCCTTATAAAAAAATAAAATAAAATAAAATAAAAACAAATTAAAAAATTATCTACCTTTCAAAGTTCTAACTTAACCGAGAAAATTAATAGAGTGAGAAATGATTTTTATTAAAATTTTTTTTTTTGAAAGGAATTTGCTACTATTGCTGCATTTGTTAGCCAAGGAAGGTTTTGACGAAAGATTTAACGATCATGCATGACGACCATTTTTATAGGTATCCCCTAAATGGTTACGTTTTGATTTCGTCATTTAGATACGGTACTATAAAATTTTTGCAGGTACGAATATTTTTTATGGATCATACCGTATCTATAACTCTGTATGTATATATAGATACTATCGATATTGCGTGCATGGTATGATCCTATTTATTTAAAAAACGTACCTGCAATTTTAGTACGTACCTGCAACTTTATTATTTATACAATACAAACATAAACTTAAATATTTACTAGACTTAATTTTGGCGATCATATATTATATTAATTGATTACCGATCGACAATTCAGTTGATGTATAGAACACATTCCAAAAAAAAAGAAAAATCTTTCGATGATATATTACAAATTTATGATTTAATTTAAAGCTTTATTTTTTAAAATATTATATAATTATATATAACAATCGAAACGATTTTATTTCAATAAGATTTAGAATTCGCATATTTTATCTAAATATTAATTTTTTATTCTTTTTCTATCATTTTTATGTATTCTTTATATTTCATTTATTATTTTTCTCGTTTAATTGTTTATTTTCTCTCGACATTTTTTTTTTTTTTAGTAATTGCGCCTTCTTTTCAGTTCCTCTTTCGGATTGGAACATTTC